AAAAAAAAAAAAAATACAAAGGACTGGGGATGTGGCTTAAATATAGAATTACATTCATACAAGCACCTGTTCATACAATGCCGGTGATCTGGCCCTGTCTTAGAGGCGGTGCAGAGATGGGTCCCTGAGCCTTTTCCCACCAAACTGATCTTTGTAGCGCCACCAGGCATCCGATAGTCTATTGGGGCCACAACAGAAGCTGTCCTCTTCTGCGGCCACCCTGTTCTAGTGCTTTCTGCTCCCACCAGGGGAAAGGAGGTGTGTTCCACTACCCAGGCGATCAGAGACTGAATTGCTATGTTACGTAATGGATGGCAGTCCCTTCCATGTCCATAGGCTGAAGCCTAACTGTGTGACAGTTTCTGGAGATGAGTCCTTTGGGAGACAATTAGCTTTAGATGATATCAGGAGGATCTGCTCCCCCTGATATATTAGTGCCCTTAGAAGAGTCCCCAGAGAGTTTGCCCTGTCTCTCTCCTGGCCATCTTGAATTTCTAGCCTCAATGTCTGCAGGTGACCAGTGCAGAGTGTGGTATTGTGGTGGGCTGAGCTAAGATGGCTTTTAGTAGTGACAATGAGGAGTTGCTGTGACAGGTACCTAAACACGTGGACTGGATAATGGGCAGTCACGGGAAGAGTTTCCAGGTGCCTGCTAGAAATCTGGACAGTCGAAGACCATTCTGATGAGTTCTCAGGTGGAAATAGGACTATGTTTGGACAGTGGGGAAAACGGGTCTTTTTTAGAAGTGGTAAAGAACTTGGCTGAACTCTGTCTAGCGAGTGTGAAGGGTAAAACTTGAGAGTGGTGAAATTGACTATTTGCCAGAGGATATTTCTAAGCGGAGGGTTGAAGGTACGGCTTGGTTTATCCTGATGCCTTATAGTAAAATGTGAAGAGAGAGATGCACAAAGGAGGAATCGTTAGGCAAAGAGGAACTAGAGATCTGAAGTTTGGGAAAATTCTCAGCCTACCTGTACTGAAAAACTGAGAATGCCTGCTCTAAAAAACAAACAAACCAAACAAACAAAAAACCCACACACACCCAAGGGCATGACTGAACTATCTGATGACCAGTGGGTAGGACGGCGGTAGCAGAGCACTGTCTGTTTGAACTGAAGAGACAGAGACAGGGATAAAATAAAGGAAGACTGTCAGACGTCTTAGGTTCGACACTACAGGACAGTTGAGCTATTTGATGATGAACATGGGCTAGTATTTGTAAGGAGAGGGAAAAATGATCTTGAAGGGGATTCGGAGACCATTAGGGCCACCAGCTCAGCTTCCATGGGCCATCTGGGCCTACACCTGGAGCCCTGGGGCTAGGACAAGGGCCCAACAGTCAGGAGATCCCTGCCCGAGGCCAGGGGGCAGTGCCCTACTGTAGAACCAAAGCCATGGGGGCCCCCCTGTGAGCCGTGGCCTGGGAGGTGGGACCCCAAGCCCGAGGGTGATTCTGGAGCCTCAAGATCTAATCGAGCATTCCTCACTAAGGAGGGACAGGTCACCCCTTTCTCCCTTCTGGAGTGGGAATGTCTAGCTTCTCTCTGTCCCACTGTTTGGTGTTGGTAGCACATGATTTTTCAGGTTTTATAGGTTCACAGCCGCAGAGGAATTTTACCTCAGGATGAACTGTGCTTTGAGCCTCGCCATATCTGATTCAGATGGTCTGATCTAGATGGCACCGGGATAAGGCTTTAGACTGCGGGTCTTAGAGAGGGTGCTGGGATGGGTTAGGCTTTGGGGGCTGTTAGGATGCCATGAATGTGTTTTGCCCACAGGGGGGATTGGAATTGGCCAGGTGCTGGGGTGGAATGCGGTGGAACACACTCCCCCAAATTCAGATGTTGACATCGTAACCCCCCTGCGGTAAGTCTTCAGAGATGGGGATCTTCAAGCGACAACTAGGCTTAGATGAAGGTGGAAGCCTCGGGAGGGGATTAATGTCCTTATAAGAAGAGACACCAGTAACTTGGCTCTTTCTCTCCTCCCCAGGAGGACACAGTGAGAAGATGGCTGTCCACAGCCAGGAACTGACCCTACTGCACCTTGATCTTGAACTTCCAAGTCTCCAGAACCACGAGAAAATCAATTTCTGTTAAAAAAAAAAAAAAGAACAGATATGGCTGCTTTCTTTGTCCAAATCTGGAAACAACCCAGGTGTCCTTCAGGGAGTGAATGGCTAGAGAGTCTATGGCGTATCCCCCCTGGGGAACGTTGTACGGAGATAAGAAGAACGAGTTATTGATATATACAAAAGCCTGGATGAATCTCAAGGTAATTATGCTGAGTAATAAAAGCTAATTCCAAAAGGTTGCATACTGTATGATTTTACTTATGCAATATTTCTTTTTAAATAGTTTTCAGTTGTAAATGGACATGATACCTTTATTTATTTGTTTATTTTTTACGTGATACTGGAGCTAGAACCCAGGGCCTTGAACATCCTAGTTCTATCACTGAGCCACAACCCCAGCCCTATTTATATAACATTTTGAAGTGATAAAATTATAAAACTAGCGAACAGAAGAAGGGGTTGGGGAAGGAGGAAAGAGAGTGGTCGTAGCTATAAAAGAACAACAGAAGCGACCTGTGGCTGATGGAAATGTTCTGTATCTTGGCTGTAGCACGTTCAGAATTTTGTTGGTGACATTGTACTACAGTTTTGCAAAATGTTACTTTCTTTTTTCTTTTTCTCCTTTTTCTTTTCAGGGCTGGGGATGGAACTTAGGGCTGGTTACCACCACTGAGCTGCAGCCTGGGACCAGATGTTCCCACTGTTCCTGGGGAACTGAGTGGAAGTCATCATAGAGCTCTCTGTATTACTTCTTACAGCTGCATATGAATCTATAATCATCTCATAATAAAAAAAATTAATTTAAAAGATTACTGAAGACAGCAGACAGCTTGCTTATGATCTATTGATAGGTGGTATATTGAAAATGAAAACAGAGACTTTTGAACATGTTTACTTAATTCCTTTGAAAATAAACCCAACACATATGAATGAAAATAGCTTATTTGTATGAAGACTATATTTTTCCATAACCGAAAACAATTAGTGAGAATTGTGACATTGTTTTGCATCTTTGGGATCTCCGTAATGTCTGACTTAGTAGAAGACAATTGGATGCTCATATCTGCTTCTGCATCCATGTGTAGTGATGTGTTCTCATTGAAATATATGAGATAATCTAGCCCCACTTGGAGGTGCAGTTTGGAAAATTGAAGAATGTTTTATTAGTCTTTTCACATAGTTGCATACACTACTTTTTATTTAGTGCAAAAATCTTGGAAAGTGATAGTTTCCTGAAGATTAGTTGCAATGCAGAAATAATTATTTATTTGTATCTATCTATCTATTATCTATCTATTTATTTTGGAATACTTGATTGAGCCCAGGGGTGATAAACCACTGAGCCACATCCCTAGCTCTTTTTATTTCTTACGTTGAGAAGGTCAGGCTAAGTTGTTCAAGGCCTTGCTAAATTGCTGAGGCTGGCTTTGAATTTGTTATCCTCCTGCCTCAGCCTCCTGAGCTGCTGGGATTATAGGCCTGTATCACCAAGACAGGCTGGAAAGGATAACTTTTTAAAAAGATTAGTTGAAGCCATATGAATGAACTTTTTATATTCTGCTACATTAAAATCCATTTACCAGTTGATCTTTGGCCTGTGGAACTGCCGAAACAGCTAGGGGTTCCTGGACCCCTCTTTGAGAACCATTGCCCCAAAGTTCTTCATCTAAGACCTGATATAGGGGCCCCAAAAGGCATTGATTTGGTGACAGAATATCAAAATCCTTTGTTCAAAACACTGTTCAGAGGCTGGGCAAATAAAAGTAAAGGAAATCCTGCTCAGGAGGAGATAACAAATATTGAGGGCAGAATCCAGCCTCCACCACTCCGGTGCTCCCCAAGGTGGCCATGTTGATCTGGGGGCTGTGCCACTGTGAGTGTATCCTCCAAGAGAAGGGCCATTCTGCCAGCACACAGGCCTCTTAAGTGACGGTTCAAGCACTTTGAAAAGAAGCGTTCTTCTGTTTTCATAGATGGAGGTCTTGAATGCCTTCCAATGGCTGGTGCAGGGTGCAGAATGGGAACCAGGTGCCAGAATTCCTGACCCTCTTCCCCACCCACCTCCCCACACAGCCGTGGACGGCCCCTGTTAGTGGCGGTTAACGAGCCTCTGCCCGGCTTCTCTCTTAACAGAGGTATAATGGTTCCCCTGTGAATCTGAGGCAAGGAATCAAAGAATTCTTTCCTTTTCTCAGTGAATCGTAACCCGGGAGAGCTCACTGCCACAGTCATTATCACAGCCAATAACTGAGGCCGGATAGAAACAAGACCAGACACTTGTCCCCTAGGGGAGACCATGGCGGCTTTGAGATCCCTTTGCTCTGATGCAGTCAGTGGTCACTAGCTCAAATCTGAGATGACATCTCAGTGAGAGATGATTAGGTGTGGGTTTCCTTTTTTTCTTCTTTTTTGCTTCATGCTGTTTTTGTTTTGTTTTGTTTTGTTTTTAGGAGAAGGCTTGCATCTCATTCTGGAAGACTCCAGGCAAATCGGAGCGAGGATTTGTGCAACACTCCCATGGAAGCCCGGATAGGCTTTTCATGGTCACTCCACCCAATAGCTGCGGCTTTGTTTTCTCTGGTTGTCCCCGGAGGGAACCTGGGTACAGGGAATCCTAATGGGCTGTAGACCTGTGGGCTCGTCCCTCAGAGCGGTCCTTGCAGGCAGGGACTGCCCTGGTCACTGTGGCTCTCTACAGCTCCGCACAGTGAGTCACCCGGAATTCATGCTTGGTTACTTGTTGAGTTAGTGAATCACATTGAGTTGGTTAGATGCTGAGGTCTGGTTCAGCAGGTAGATAACAGCTGATCACTCCAGGCTGTTCTAGAACTCCACAGGAGACGTCCTGTTCCGTAGAGGGGGGGAAATTCAGTTGTGCATAAGGTGGGTTTTTTTCTGGGTTTTCTAAGTGGTTTTTAGTTGGTTTAATTTGTCAACCCAAAGGATTCTGGGATCAAAATCAGATTTGAAAATGCCTCTCCTCCCTCTTCCCCTGGGATCTTCCTCTAGGCACAAGCAGGAGGCTGGTGTGGCAGGGAGGCAGACTATTTGGGAAGAAAGTCTTCAGATCTAGAAACTATCTTCAGGACCTTATGCCAGGTCAGAACCAAAGGCTTCAGACCCTTGGGGCATCTTGGAAGTGGCCACACGGGTTGTAGTTCTATTAAGAGAAAAATATGGACCTACGATC